ACATTTTTTGGATATAATTAATGTTTAAAGTAAATTTATTGGGATTAATATTTTAATTATTTTATAATGGGATTAATATATTAATCTACTCAGAACTAAGCCCCTAAACTAAAACTAAAAAAAAAACTAACTTTAGTTGGAAGAAGATAAATCATTTTTTCCATAGTTTGATCTTCATCATTGCTTAGTTCCTCAAAACCCAAGGCTGCAAGGGCAAATATTCCTAGAAAAAGGTATTAAAATTGTTTGGATTTTGTTATGGTTTTTTTGTTAATGAATAAACAAATACGTTTTTTGTTAAATTTATTTACCAATAAAAGCCGCTGGTGCTGTGACAAAACTCATTTTGCATCTGTATGGATGATAATCAGGTGAAACTTCACAATTCCAATAGAGCATAGCTTGTGAAATAACAAAAAAGACACTACTTGCCAACATTAATAGAGCCCCAAACATGTGCACACTTAGTACCGTCAAAACCTATAAAATACATGAAAGGACAATTATGATTCATATGAAAGAATTATTAGACTTCAAAATTTGAAAAGTTTTAATACGTGTAGTTCAAATTTACAGAAAATTTTATTTATGATCAATGTACAAAGGATTAGCAGTATATAAAAACATATGATCGTGGAAATTAATGTCTCTGTCTCATCTTGACGACATATTATCTTCGATTACTAATGCTACTGAAAAGTAAATCAATTCTTCAGACATCAAAATTATAATGAAAGTATTTTTATTAAAAACCAATTATCATTGACTCGGAAGAAAATATTCTTTGAAATTGATATTTCAAAAATAAATTCGGCGTTTTCAGACTACGTATTCAATATACGAGAGTTTTGCGGGATATATATGCCGTATGGACCTCTCATCCTTGACGTTCAGAATTTTAATTACAAACCTATTGGAATTAGAACTGGGGTGTTCCGAATTGATATGCGCTGATTGTGTGGAGGACCATTTTAAAGTTTTTAGAATGACTAATTGGAGAACTGTTGCTAAGTGGAGATTGGAATGGTAGAATGTTCTTAAGAAAGCTTTGGACTACCCAGGTCTGTTGTTTCTATAGAAGAAAAAATGTACAAAGTATACGTAACCTTGAAATTATGAATTTCAGAAAAATGAAATTAATGAAATTGAACAAAGCTATTGGTGATTCAACACCATTAAGAAAGTATCCAACAAGCTTGAAACTGGCTTCGAGTCTCCATAAGGTATTATTGTCATTGCAGTGCACACGCAAATCACTTGCGCAAACAGCGCTGCCGACAAACGCTTTTCGTATAAAGGTAAAACAGAAGACTGTTTTCAAGTACTAGTATTGTAGTTTCCCGCTGTCTTGCCGGAGAATGAGATGTTCAGTCGAACATGTTTCTTAGTTTTACCAAGAATTGTGGTTTATACAGATGACAAAATATCCTTCCAAGAAATCGTTTGCTCGTGCTCGAGAAAATCAATACACAGTGATGGGAACATGAAATCAAGTAACGCAAAGGGGAACGATCAATTGATGGGAAGGATTTCATCAGCTTCGTCATACCATCAAACTTGAGGACATGGGAGTTATGCGTAATATGATGATGGAACACACCTCAACATCGAAGGCAAGGCCAGTCACACATCAATGCATATCAGTCTGTAAATCCGTATATCAATCCTTCATCTACACCAGAGGAGAATTTTAGGAATAGGTTTATTGCAGTGATGATCTTTGAGTGTACATCACAGGATTTTACGACTGCAATATATGGGGCGTTGGTTAGTTTCAAAACTTTTTTTGATGTGGTACTTTTAAGTACATTAGGACAAAACAGCAATTCCTAACGTATTTAAATTCCAATTATTTTTAAATGTGGTTGGGTCTATGAAGTTGTTGTGCATGCTTTTCAGCTTCAGAACCGGAGAGTAGTTTAATTAAAAAATTTTTTTAAAAATAAATTTAAATCTTTGATTATTAATTATTTGTATCCATATATTTCTCTTTTCGTGTGTAAACTTAAAAAAACCAGCGAGCATGCTTTGTGCTGGAATAAATTTATTGTTATTTGCAAAACGTGTATTTTTATTTTCAGCCATTTGAATATTGCATATCTTATTTCAAATATGTTTAGAATGCACGGTCTAAGAAAAAGCGACGCCATTCTTCAAAAACCTCCCTTCAGACTATATTGGAAAATTGAGGGCATTGTGAAGTATGTGGGGAAAAAATCTATACAGAGTTGACTATTCTCAAAATGTGAAGTGAGCAATGTGTTTTTTGTGCTTGAATAAAAAAGAAAAAAAATGTTTTCGTTATTTTTATCCCGAATAGATAAGTGTATCTTGTTACACATGGCATGAAAACAATGTAAAGAAATAGTGTATAGTTTCTTTACTTTCAAAGTTCATCTTTAGTGACCGGACTGTACTAAAAAGTACCTATTAGTTTATTAGCTCTAATTATCGATATTTTTTAGAATTTCGTATTTTATTGTATAAATGTTCTAATTTGTTTTTATAATATAATCTAAAAAGGTTTTAAGGAAATATTCCTTTTAATTCATAATTTGGGCATAAAGTGAAATTTAATAATGAAATAAGATTTCTTTCTGCTTTTTAAAAGTACCGAAAATAAATATTTGGCTGCTTTATTCGAAGAATAAATCTGGACATACTTTGAATAAATCGCCCGCTTAAATTATGAGTAAAATTTGCTATAAACATAAAAAAATATGTCGATAAGCAAATTGGAATATAATTTGATAATATGTTTTCAACACTTCTTACTTATGCTTATTAATGTACATGAGTGCAACAATTGTGTGTACTCATGTTTAAACTAGAGTACAATTAAATAACTTATTTTCAATAACTTTTTTTATAGAATGGAGCAAAAGAGTTCTAATTTTATGTCATTCAGTTTTTACTTAAGTGTTTTTTAGTTGCTTTGTTTTTAATATTACTTCTTAAAAGTATTTTTATCCATTATTTTGGTGTTTGATAATAGTAAAGTAGAGTTATTCAAACCAATTTTTACAGATTTAATGAAGTGTTTTTATCAAAAACTTATGTTTCTTCATTTTTCAAACAATATATTAATTTTTATTAGTTGTACTTAATCATGACATCCATAATGTGTGCTTGCCAACATCAAGGGTAAATCATTCTATCTGGTACACACTGAGTTAAAATAACAATACACTTAGATGCTAATAAGAAAATTAATTTATTTTTGAATTGCATCTAAAAAAGGACACTAGATTTCATTCTCAGTCTGTATAAAATGTAATATATATATATATATTTTTGAAAAATGAAGGAATTTGATTTCCTGTTATAAGTTATGTTATTTATGATTTTGAGATATAAGCTATAAGCTGATTTTGAGTTATAAACTATAAGCTGATTTTGAGTTATAAGGTATAAGCTGATTTTTAGTTATAAGCTATTTATGAAATTTCAAGTATAAATTCCGTTAACGGTATATATTTTATATTACAAAATTTAATTTTGAAGAAATAATTAAAATGAGAGTGAAATCCCCTAAAATGAAGCAGTAATTATTTTGAAGAGAAATCAATAATTCTATTTCAAATAATGACAAATATATTTTTTATAATATAATTAAATTATACATATATAAATGCTTTTAAAAGCCATTCTAAGTGACTGTTGTCATTACTGTATATATTTCTTAAACGTACTTTTTTAATGGGCTGTACATTGGCAACTAAGTCTCCAAGTGTGAGAGTCATTTCTTGGTGGTGCCATCTAGTGGTTTCTCCCATTACCAGATTTTGACGCTTGAATTAATTTTAATTCAAGCTCTCCTAGGATGCTAAATATTGTGGGTGATTTAATTTTACCAACAGTACCAGAGCCAAATTGATACTCAAGGTATTTTTTACATGCAATGTAATCATTTGACAAGGGTGCCTACGATTTCCGCATCCAGAAAATCTGTCAACTCCCGTCACCGAGCTGATTCTCAAGCGTACTAATTTATCTTATGCTGAATAAAAAACTATTTTTGTGCTTGCATTTATTTATTTATTTTGCATAAAAATTTTACAAATGAAGTAATATATTTAAACCTGGAGAATTTACAGCAATTTTCTTTCTTTTCTCAGAAGAAATAAAATAAAAAATACCTTTACTGAAAGAAAGATTCTATATAAAGGAAAATACATAACTTTTATGATAAAACACGCGCATATTTTTTACAATTTAAGGAGATTTTTCTTTAACAATTATGGTAAGGTAACCTTGCAGCAATAAAAGCATAATTTACGCAACGTGTGTGTGAAATTGAGGAAATGTCATTGTTTGTAAATCAAGACTCTCCTTACCCATTCATATTTATTTGGAAGATCTGTGAAGGTAATTGGAGATGCACAGAGAAAGACCCAACTGAGGAAATAAAGCGTACCAAAGAAGAATGAAGTATTTTCCATCAACTCTTGCCCTTGAATCTTGCATGTCTTATGTATGATGAAGCATAAGATTATTCCTGCAATGATAAAGTTCAGAAAAGTAAACAAAAATTCATGAGTACAAGAACGTGGATCTTGCTAAGTTTGGTTGTTAACTCACAAAAACCTATTTTAATCTAAATTTTATATAAAAATATAATGAATTTTAAGTATGAACTTGGAATATCAATAAATATTTTAGAAATTTATTTGGTTTTTCAATTTCTAATTTTAGCTCACACTCTCCCTATATATATATATATATATATATATATATATATATATATATATATATATATATATATTTATTTATTTATTTATATACATATATCTTGTTCAAATTTTCAATCGTTAATAAAATACTTTTATTCATCCACTCAAGTTCAAATAGATTTTTTAAAACTTGTAATGGAGGAAATTCGATGTTAATGCAGTTTTTTTCAAATATTAATTCATTAATTAAATTTAATTAATTAATAAATAGTAACAAACAAAAATAATAGTCCAACACCATACACAAAAAGAAAAATCGGTCGCTGTGTCCCTGTAGTGCAATGGATAACGCTTCGGATTTATGATTCCAAAGTCGTAGGTTGGAATCCTACCTGGGATGGCCTAATTTCTGAGAATGTGATTTCTTTTTACTATACTATTTTATTGTAATAATTAAATTTATTCAATGGATAAATAGTAACAAACAAAATAATCCAAACATTAAATACAGAAAGGCAAATGGAAAATTGCAAGGAAAATTAGTTTCTATTTTACCACTTAAAATTTTGATTCTGTCATAAGTAGCATATACATATTTATATTAATTGTAATTATTTAATAAAAAGTAAATAAAAAATAAAATTTTTCTTTCTTGATCTAAGTAGGAGTTGACAAATTTTCTTTTATATTACTTGTTTTGTCATTCACTACTTTGAGTGTTGCTCGAAAAACACATGCATGATTTAAAGTTTGTTCTTGTAAAATACCATTGTTCATTTAGCTTAATATTAAAACAAGTTACGCCTTCTTTTCTATATATATACACTGGTGTGCAAAAATTAAGGACGAAGTCGAAAAATTAGCATATCAGCTGAAAGAAGAGGCAGAGTGGACAGAAAGACATACAGGAGATTAACTAAGGTGATGTACGGTAGCACATGCGCAGATATGCAGGTAGACGTAATGGGGGAGTGTCTAAGTAGTATAAAGCATGTTGTCGGTGTAAGATCAGTATTTCTGGCAAAGAGATTGCACGCCGTATAGCAGTTAAAATCACACCAAGTTGCTGCCTCAGCGAGAAATGGCGAATAATCAATCTGTTAGATGACATCTGGATGCTTTTACCCGAGGTCGAATCATTGCGAAGTTGGAGGAAGGCCGCAGTGTGACAAGTGTGGCTGCAGAGTTCGGAATTGCTCACAGCATCGTTTCACGACTTTAGAGACTATTTCAAACTACAGGAACAGCTATCCGGGGGTTCAGTAGTGGTCGTCCACGAGGAACCACACCCGCAGATGACCGGTACATTGTCTTACAGGCCAGAAGAAACAGGCGGCAGACAGCGGGAAAAATCGCTAAACACACGACACAGGCGACTGGACGACCGATATCGCGTTTTACCGTGGCCAGAAGACTGCACGGTGGTGGTCTGTTTGCACGACGCCCTGTACGGTGTGTACCTTTAACGCCTGCCCATCGGAGAAGGCGTTCTCTGTGGTGCCGGGAACACCGGAATTGGGGAGACAATGAATGGGAACGAGTACTCTTTACAGATGAGAGCAGATTCAGTTTGAGTAGCGATTCTCATCGCATAATCATCTGGAGAGAGCGGGGAAGCCGCAATCATCCCTCGAACATCATTGAAAGGGACAGGTATGGAGGTCGCGGTGTTCTCGTTTGGGGAGGCATCATGCTTGGTAGTCGTACAGACCTTCACATCTTCGACGCAGGTTCAGTCAACGGGACCCGTTATTGTAACGAGATTCTTCTTCCATATGTGCGTCTTTTTAGAGGCGCTATGGGTCTGCAGTTCCTTTTCATGGACGACAATGCACCATGCCATCGCACAGTAGCTGCCGAACAGCTCTTAGAGAGTGAGAATATTGAACGTATGGATTGGCCGGCACGATCTCCGGATCTCAATCCCATCGAGCATGTATGGGATTTTCTAGGCAGACGCTTGGCTGCTCGTACCGTACCACCAGTAACGATTCGGGAGCTTCGATTGGCGCTGCAAGACGAATGGGCAGCAATGCCTCAACAACTCATTGACACCCTCATTCTCAGCATGGGTAGACGCTGTGAAACCTGCCTAGCAGTCAGGGGAGATCATATCCCCTACTAAAGACCGGATGTTTTTTGCTGGACACCCATCACAGGGATGTTTCGGCCTTCAGTCGCATTGCGCTCCATGCTATTTTTTCAATCAAGCTTATTTTTATCCCTCTGATTTCTCTTTTAGTAAGTGTTGCTTACATTACACATGTCCTTACGTATTGGGGATCTTCCGGTATTAAATGTGTTGATTTGGAAAGCTTTTGTACAAAGTTATATTGAAAAAACCGTCTCGTCCTTAATTTTTGCACACCAGTGTATATTAAAATTTTTTCGTAATGATGTAATAGATATATTTATACGTAAGATATAGTTAGTAAAAATAGGACGTAAAGAAGTTTAATTTAACTGAAGAGGAGAGCCATGAACGAATTTTTTGGAAAGAAGAACAAATGAAGAAAGTGTACGAAAGACAGACATTTTTAAAGAAGAGATTAGTTGAAAATTTACATCCAGAACAGTTAGAAAATCTTTGTACCAGCCGGAGAACTGAAAACTAAAAACCTAAACAGTTAGAAAAGGAAAGGAAGCATGTTAGAATGTACCATGAAAATATTACAATTAAAAGACGTAAACTAATGTTAGGCTTACATGAAGATGGATAACAAGTTGAATATTAGGACAAAGATGATTTAAATAAGGAATGTAAATTTTGTAGAGCATTGACTTCTGAAAATGAAATATCCGAATCGAAACATAATTACTGTCATCAAGGTAAAATCAAATTACCACCTCCAGATGAATATCCGACTGAAATTAAAGATATTTTAATTGGTTCAACAGAAAGGAACAAACATTTTAGGGAGAATATTAGAGATTAGGAACATCGTTTTGTGAAAAAGCACTAAATTAAAGTACAAATTAAAATGTGTCGATGAAGACGAAGTTTATTTTTTTCCTGCTTATGAAGTATCGCAAAAACCTACATAATATATGTAAACTACAGTTTAACAATTCGAGCTATGAATATGGACAGTTGTATGATTTATACAATTGGGGTTGTCCGCCGTTGGGTAGACAGTGGGTACATCTCCCTCTTAGATTAAAAAAAATAATACTATTGTAAAAAAGTGTTTTATTTTTATAAATACTTCCTAATCTAAATTTTTTCAATTGTATGCTTTTACTTTTACAAATATTTATTTTTATGATTTAAATTATTTTCTAGACATAAACTTTTTGCGTAATCAAAGCCTTTTACAACTTTATTCCTTACCCAGATTCTCGGGAAAAAAGTGTCTTTTACATAATATGCACTTAGATTTTAAAAAAAATTAGGCGAAAAGATCATTTTGACAAAAGTTTTTAATAATTAAAAACTTAAATGAAAATATATATAAAAATAAAATAACAAGTCATAGAGCCTTTCTAGTAAAATTAGACACAGTTGAACTATCTGCTATTTTAAAAATTCAATTATAACTTCGCTGTAAACTGAAGATATGGAAATAACATCTCCATATCATGCATTCTTATAATTATTTAATTGACAATATGAGTAATAGAATAACTTAAAGCAGATCAGTGCATCTTAATCAAAACATAAATTAATCATGTGGGAAAATCGAGAAGAAAAGAAAGAAAAATAGAGAGTTGTGGTAATAGAGAAACTATCAGCTTACAAGTTTAAACTTCCCTTTGAATAATATTGATTAGTTTACTTTTAAAAATATCTGTCCTTGAGTTATAAGATCAATTTTATGAGTACAGGAAGAGAGCTTTATGTAGAAATGTATTATATTTCTTTTCCGACAATACAAAGAAGGTCATGAATTAGTTGCTTAGTGCAGTTACGAATTCAGTTTCTAATAATTAAGATTCATATTTCTTACAACAGAAATTAACATATATTTTCCCTTTCCGTATTGCTTGTGAATGAAAAGATTAATAATTGTTTTGATGAATTTGGCATAAATTTTGAGTTTTGTATTAAAAAGTTGTTTTTTTAGATTTTTTTTAAGGTAAATGTATTTTTACAAATATTTAATAGGTTTAAACATCGCATTGTTTAATCTATATACAGATTTTTATTCTGTATAATTAAGTGACTGAAAGTATTTTTGTACTTATAGAGTTTCTTTATTATCTGTATATGATCATGAAAAACTTTACATATTAGATGGTTTTAATAAGATTGTAAATATATATATATTAAATGACATTGAATCTTTTATATAAATTGAAGAAAAAACAGAATTTATAAAATAAGAAACTAAATTAACTATGTAAATTCAAGATTAAAGGAGTTTTACTTTGCAATGAATATTTTGTAATTTACATTTTAGTGAAACAAATTATAATATTATTTAAATAAATATTTGAATATAAATATTTATTGAAACCTTTATTTTTATCCTTAGCTTTTCTACTATACTGCACTTTTCTACATTACTGTTTCTATTTTATCTACATTTTTTGTCTATCTATCATTTACAACATATTTTAATGAAAAACATCTTTAATAGAAAGATCAAGTTTTTTCCCTATGATTTTTTTTCTTATTTCATCGAAAAGATTATTTAAAATTTCGAGGGTCTTTTTAATAGATACTATTATTTATTACAAATGTAACGATGAAAAAATGTGTAACATTTCTATATATTGGAGAGTTGAATAATAACTTCTTTATACATTCCTTACCGAAAGTTCGATAAAAAATATAATTTTCTAAGCTAAAATAATATGTAAATATTTAGGAAAAAATGATAAAAGAAGGCAACTTAAAATTTTAAAAAGAGCTCAGTGATAGTATGCTGCAAGAATAAAATTTATGTCTTAAGAAGGAATAAATTATTAATATTCACGCTGGTTTAATATAAGTGCAATTAGCTTACGAATATATATCATGTAAACATAGACTCACACTCTTTTAATAAATATGAGTCACAATTTTAATTTTAATACTAAGTTTCAGATAATTTACATATGTATACATATTATTTGGTTTTTGAAGTGAAATAAGAGTGTAGACAGTTTTTTCTGATTAATGTAATTTCTTTTAAAGTGAGTTGTTTTTAATAAAATATTTTCTGAAGCATTGATATAAATTAAAACAATACAGAGTAGCAGTTAAACTACGGATTGAAACATGTTTAACAGAATGTCAACTTTATCTTTTATTGTGTTAAATTTCAATTATGATTTTTGAAGTAAATTATGAATTTCAATTCTAATATAGTTTCTTCAACAGAAAAATAATCTATGCATTTTTCCATGTTTGTTTAAGATAAAGAGATAAAATAGTTGAAAGAGTGCTACGTTAAAAAAATACTAAAATTTGTATAC